TTCTGATCAATGGCCCTCCATCTCGCTTCTGATCCATGGTGCGCCTGTCGGTGCTTGTGCTCCTCTTGGCACCGGTGCGCCTCTTGGTGCTGGTGCGTGTGAGACATTCGCTGCCCGTTGTCTCTGATCCTCGGCCGCCAGAGCAAGGGAGTGCAGGAGGGAGGGGGCGTGGGGATGGAAATGCGAATGGGAGACGCAAAGCATGGCGGAACGGCTCCACGAAGACCTGCAAACTGACGGCAACCTGCGTCCGCGCTTCTTTTAGGCTCTCCAGCAAGCAGTCTGGCCCTGCTCCCTCCTCCACCATGACGCCGACCTCGAGCTCGACGCCGACCTCCAACTCGACGCCGACTGCGTCCACGGCACCGAATGCCACGCCCGCCGGCTCGCCTGCCGCCGCGCGAAGTGCCCCCATGGCCATCTCGACTCCCTCTTCTTCGAATGCGCCCAACGCGTCCCGACGAAACTCCCGCCGCATAAGCGACCTGCGAGACTACCGCCGCGACCTCGCCGTGCTCGACTCGTCCGGCAACCGCCTCCCCCAGATCCAACACAGCCCGCCGTCGGGCCACCCATCGTCCATGACCCAGGGGGCGCCCTGGATGACGAGCGGCGACGATGACGGCGTGTCGCCATTAGCAGGAGTTGGTAGTGGCGGCGGCGGCGGCGGCCCTCTGACGCCCCAGGACGGCCCGATCCCGACGAGCTTCTACAACGACTCGAGCGACAACCTCTCGTCGGCCCTCGCGTCGCCCCTGTCGCCCGTCTTCCGCCAGCCGGCCCCCATGCGCCCCGTGCCGTCGTTCCCGCCGCACGACGCGCAGCACGACATGGCGCCCTTTGACAACGACGACAGGCGGCCCTCGCTGGCGAGCATCGCCACGTCGAGCAGCACGGGCTCGCGCAACAGCGGCGTCCGCCGCGGCGGCCTGCAGAAGCTGCAGGGCTTCTTCGGCGAGCAGTTTCCCGGGCGCGACGGCTCCGAGACGAGCCTGCAGTCGTCCCTCGCTGGCACGGGCACAGGCACGGGCGCGGGGGCGGGCGCGGGGAAAGATCGATCGCGGTCCTACAGCCACAGCCGCCCGACGAGGGAACGCAACTACTCCAACGCGACGGACCACACGCGCGACGCCTCGCCTGCCTCGTCGCGACCGAGGACGCCGGTGCGA